CTGGGATTACAGTTGCGAGACACTGTGCCCAGCCAAAGTCTTATATGTAGCTGAACAATTCTTTCTTATACATATGTGTGTGTGTGTGTGTGTGTGTGTGTGTGTGTGTGTGTGTGTGTGTGTGCTTTAGTAATTTTAGACTTATACTATAAACATAAAAAGTATTTCAAAAATAAATTTGTGATGAATTATTCTGTCTTCCTTTCTACTTGCTATTTGTATTGCTGTAGTTGTTATGGTACTTTGTAACTCATTCACTTATTTATTGTGATCTATAATCTTTATTTCTGAGTAAACAAGTTGGTTTATATTTTGTTGAGTAAATATATATCTTTTGATGTTTTCATTAATAATTGGAAATTTCCTTAAAGAAAAAAAAAGAAAAATATATTTTATATCATTTGTTCCTAGTGGGAATGAATCCATCCTACCCCACACAGTTAAATCTTTTAATAAAAGCATATCCAATATAATTTTTCAAATGACGCAGTTACTTAAAGGATGCCTGCTTAGCCTATAACAAATCTTTTTTTTTTTTTTTTTTTGAGTTGGAGTCTCACTCTGTCGCCCAGACTGGAGTGCAGTGGCCGCTCCCGGCCATCGCAGCCTCGCCTGCTGGGCTCCGGCCATCCTTCCGCCTCAGTCTTCCGAGTAGCCGGAATTACAGGCATGCGCTACCACGCCCCACTAATTTTTTTATTTATTGTAGAGATGAGGTCTCGCTGCCCAGGCGGATCTCGAACCCACGGGCTCAGGCAATCCACTCACCTCAGCCTCCCAAAGGTGCAGGATTACAGGCTGAGCCACCGAGCCCGGCTAACAAATTTTCTTTAACTTTTGGAATTAGCAGGAAACATTATACGTTAAAAGTTAGAGAACTGGATTACTATAAATTAGTTTACTACAGACAATTTCCTCCTTTTCCAAGTGAAATAGAGATTTTTGTTAAGCAGAGTGTGTACCTTTGATGAATATATAAATATGTATTTTTATTGACTTTGTGGACAGTCTCTTGTCACCTGTTTTATTTCTCAATCTGCGTTGTACAGATAGTGCCATTAAGATGTTTCACATGCGTCAAAAGTGGAACACCTAGAAGTTGATGGCAATGTAATTACATAGTACATCATGAACGATCCAGCTTTGGCACAGTTGAAGATTACTTCACAGCTTTGAATTAATCTGAATGACCCCAGCTTTATTGCTATTGAGATTCTGGAAATGATAAAATGTCAAGACATTGGAAATAAACCTGCAGAACCTAAACAATCTGACATGACTAATGCATAGTTTCTCTGACTCATTCCATATTCTGTAGACTTTATTACCAGCTGTAATATTTTATTGGGAAATACTTGTCTTAATGAACGTGAATGTCTTCAACCTTACTAAAATGAATGTCTGCTGTGTAAAGAACAGAGAATCCACTGCTCTGTGCCTTTGTGTTTTACAGGCACTAAAACTTAACGCACGAAAAAATGTAAGTGGTGAATCATTGCTTTACTTCTATATCTTCATTTTGAAAGGTCCATGTTCGTGGAATGCTATTAAGTCAATCACTTATGAACAATGCTACTATTTTCATTTAGCTCAAGTTTTTCAATGCTGTTAGATCAAAATGGAATTTGTGGATATACCATATGCCAACAACTTGGAAAAAACTCTGTTGTTTAACTTGTATTGATAGAGTACTACAAAGAATAGCTGTCTTCACATTTATTGCTACTGACCTCGCAAAATGCTCTTTATAAAATATAAAATTCATATTTCAGCATATTACCTTAAAAAGGGGACTGTTTTATCTTAGTCTGTAACATCTGATGGATACCCTTTGGATTACCTTTCAGAGTTTAATTCTTTTTTCTCATATTGAAAGATTTCAATTCTGGCTAAACTCTTCACCTTCACTAGCCGCAAGCACTCAGAGATGACTCCAGACTATATTATTTTCCTTCATATGCAAGTCTTTTAGTTTTGCTTTTAACTGTTTAAATGAATAGCCAACTCATAAACCTAATTTATAATTTAAGTTCTCTCATTGGGTGAATTGGATAGGATAAGCAGACATATCCTAAACCCTTTAGGTTTGACCCCCATGTTTTCTTAGATCTCACAATCCCCACCAGCCATCCTTACCAACCAACCCTGCTGGCCATATTTGAAGTTTGATGTTCACTTCACTGGATAGCTCTTCGTCTCTCTCAAATCTCTGTCAGCCATTTTCTTGATAATTTTTAGCCATAAGTTTCCTAGCCAAATATCCATAAAAAGGAGGATTTACCATACACTATTCAACATAGACTTCCACTCTTCTATTTTATCAGAAAAAAATGCATGATTTTTTCACACACTTACTGATAAAACATGAGATAGGACTGTGACCAAACAAATGATTGATTCAAGTCTTTCAGTGTCTTCTCATATTCTTTAACACAACCACACAATAAGAGGCAAAGAATGTAGACACAGTTTCAGATAAATCATATTTTCATTTAGCAGGCATTGTGAAGTAAAAAAAGAAAAAAGAAAAATAACTCATGTGTTCTGTGCCTTGTTCTTTTTCTTTGGAATTTGTCACTGAGAAGTTTGGTACAACATTAATATCTCTATCACATGTTTTCTTGCTGCATTAAACAGTAATTCAGGCATCTTATATCTACTAATTTCTCAGGAGTGCCTTACTAGGATTGGAGTTTAATGCATCAATTATGAAACGTTTATGCTCTAGAGGAGTAAGTTGCAAAAGTCACATTAGGTTTTTTTTTTAATGCAATCTTGACTATTTGAAATCAAAGTGATTCCCCTTGAATATCTGCCTTTATTCCTTTTGTGGACAATGGGAATACAACTTAATCTATTATTTTGTTTTTCCTGTTGATCTGGCTGCCTCAAGTTCAGATGCAAATGTTAAGCATCTCTACATGAGATGCTGAATGCTTAGGGAATAAAATCTTGTGAAACATAATAATCCTAAGCTATGAGAAGTTGCTACTTAGATCAATGAATATGATTTTTTAAATCCAGGATTCCTTGATAATATCTATATAACAATCCAGCATTGTCACTTGGAGAAGGTTTATTTTTATTGTTTATTTTATAATGTTTATTTATTTAAACTTTTAAATGTATTCTTTTAAAAAACATACCTCATATCCCCTTTAAAGGAGGAAATACTATGAACTAATGATGCCAATTATTTAAACATAATTATTTTGGACTGCTCTAGAGTAACATTTTGCCTTATACATAAAATAAATTTTAGGTGATTATTTAGTTTTCTTGACACCAAATCAAATATATTTTCCATTGAGATAATATCCATTGAATGCAAACAAGACTGATTAGAACTTTTTTTTTTGAGTTGGAATCTCACTCTTTGTCACCCAAGCTGGAGTGCAGTGGCATGCTCATGGCCACTGAAGCCCTGACTTGTTGGATTTAGGCGATTCTTCCGCCTCAGCCTTCCAAGTAGGAGGAACTACAGATGCGCACTACCATGCCCAGGCTGGTTTTTGTGATTTTTTAAATAGAGGTGAGGTCTCTAAATTGCCCAGGCTGGTCTTAAATCCCAGGGCTCATGCCATCCTCTCGCCTCGACCTCCCAAAGTGCTGGGATTACAGGCTGAGCCACCATGTCTGTCCTAGAACATACTTCTTAAGAGCAATTGGTGGATATCTTTTTCTGGAAAGAGAAATAAAGGGAATATTTAACTTCTACTAGGGCTAATAAAGTTACCAAAATTTTAAAACTGATTATGAAGAACTACAGGACCTCAAAAAAAAATTGGGAATAAGAAAGAATCTGGCAAAATCTCCACTAGATGATTGATTTTATCCTCATACTTCCTTGAAGGAAATAACTGTAATATTGTGATGTGATTGTTGAATGAACTTCGCCATATAATAAACATGTAAAATAACTTAGTAATTTAATTTATATAAATGTAATTAGAATTCCAAAACAATTTAATCACCATGCCTACTTTACTCATGGGAAAGTGCCATTCAAAATTCACTAATAGAAATAGAAACTGAAACTCTAATAACAAAATAGAAACTAAATTTTTGTGTTTAGTTTTGTTTTGCATTTTAATTTTTTTCCTTTTCTTTCCTCATTTAAATTTGAATAGACTTTTGTTTAACCTTTTAATATTTGCTTCAATGTGATATCATTAAAGTAGCACACACAATGTATTATGTATGTCATACTTTAAAAATTCAGCAAAATGTTTAAACTATGTCTACACTTTCATTTTTGTAAGTTACTACAATTTTTCATGATTTTTTAGATAGTGATTTTTCTAGGGTTTGCTGAGTCAATATTAACTTTGTAGTAATCTAAGGGCTCCACCTGGTGGTAATAATAAGCATTTTACTTTTTTCTCTTTAATGCTAAAAAAATTGGTTGATAGAAGTTTGTCTTGATTTAAAATATTAGTTAAAGTACATAAAATGATATAAGCTAAGTACTAGACTAGGCTATACTAATCCATCATGAATTATTATTTTTTAACGATATAGATTTAGCAGGCCATTTTGAGATTAATAATGTATACTTATTTAGGTAGTTTTAGAAAGCATAATCTTAACTTCCTATAAATATCTATCTATGCATCTATGTCTTTTTGTATATGTCTTACATCCTGGATTATGTTGCCTTGGTACTAATTAATTTCATGAATAGTCCCTTCCTCTCATTTGATGTTTGGTACACTTTGATACTGCTAGTATAGAAACATTTTCCTCATAGTAATGTCAATTTAGCAGTCTTGCAATTTAGAATGCCCAACTAAAATTCTAAAGCAGGACTTATTGAAGTGAAAAGTGAAGTTATTACTCCTAATCATAATCTTTAACTTGACAGCAAATTGCTTTGCCATTTTGCACTGTGATGTTCCAAATTTGATTTAATTTCTATAGACTCTATTTTTCAAGACTAGTAATCTTACTATATACTTTACTAACTCCATTGTCAATGCAAACTATATATGTCTTATTAGGCATCTTTCATCTGAAAGTTCCAGAGTCTTCTCCTATTGGCTCAGCTATTGGAAGAATAAGAGCTGTGGACCCTGATTTTGGACAAAATGCAGAAATTGAATACAATATTGTTCCAGGAGATGGGGGAAATTTGTTTGACATCGTCACAGATGAGGATACACAAGAAGGAGTCATCAAATTGAAAAAGGTAAATACACATTTTTGGAAAATTGAATACTGAAGGAAAAAAAATTGAAAATGATATAGTATGTCTTCTATCAGCAATTGAGTTGATCCTTGTCCAATGCGTGAGGGTTAGGCGTACCACCCCCACAGTCCCCCGTGCAAAAATCTGCATATAACTTTGGACTTCTCCACAACTTAACTACCAATAGCCTACTGTTGACCAGAAGCCTTACTGATGATACAAAGAATGAATTAACATGTATTTTGTATATGTATTATATACTGTTGTTAGAACAAAGTAAGTTGTAAAATGCTATTAAGAAAATCATAAGGAAGAGAAAATATATTTACTGTATGTTAAATAGAAGTGGATCATTATAAAGATATTCATCTTCTTAGTCTTCTTGTTAAGGAGGCTGTGAAGAGGAACAGGGTGGGTTATTCTTGTTGTCTTAGGAGTGGCAGAGGTAGAAGAAAATTCACAGACATGTGGTCTTGTGCAGTTTAAACCTGTGTTAAAGTGTCAATAGCAATTTAAAATTTAAAAAAATACAGACTGGGAGTGATGGCTTATGCCTAAAATTCCAGCACTTTGGGAGGTCAAGGCAGGAGAATTGTTTGTGTTCAGGTGTTCCAGATTAGCCTGGGCAGCATAGTGGGACCTTGTCTCTAGCAAAAATTTAAAAAATAGTCAGGCATGTGGCTGTGTGCCTCTAGTCCCAGCTCTTTGGGAGACTGAGTAGTGTGCATCTCTCCCAGGAGTTCGAGGAAGTTGTAAGCCATGATCATGCCACAGCCCTCTCATCTGGGTAAGAGGGAAACAAAAAAAAAAAAAAAAAAAAAAAAAGGACTTGATAACTTTGAAGTCTTTACTCCCATAGGCACTGTTATTCTGTGATTCAATAGTTGTATGTTTTATTTTGAACAGTGAAGACTATCAATTTGAATAAATCATAAATTTTGGATTGCTGTGTCGACAAAAAAAAAAATCAATTTAAAGATGAGATCCAGAAGTCAACTCCAGCCCCACCAGACTTGACCCTTTTATCACTTTTCTGATAATATAAATATCCAATTCACCACATTGTTGTTGAGAACTGATAACAAAGTGGAGAAATACTGATGTAAGTAAGCTCCACTCTCTTGAGGAGTGGAAGAAACGAGAAAGTGCAGTAATAGTCTTGGGAAGTAGTAAGGAGGAAAATTTTAAAAAGGAAGAATTACTAAGAAAGAGAGAGAAACACGGATGGACTGTGATGGGAAGCTGTTTAGTCATGGAAAAGAGATTAGTGCAGATGAGGATTGTTGAGGGGAAGAGCAAAGTTGAATGGAATATTAGAAAGGAATCATGATCTGCAGTGTATGTAGTTTTGTCTTTTGTTGGGCAGTGGCATGAAGAAGGACTGTGCCAATGCAAGACACAGGAAAATCCTGACTACATTTGAGGAGTGTAGATTGTTTTCATAATAATGAGGCAACCTGTGTAAAATTTAAATAAGGAAATGCAGGCAGAAAAGCAAAAACTCTTGTAGTTCAGTCACTTTGCCCTCTCTTACAAAGTACACTTGAATCACCCCAAACTGTAGTATATCAAACTCATTTACTAATTGTGATTATTTTAACTAACCCAGGAGACATTTGCATTCAGTTTCATTAAGCAGTCTACTGTTTCTATATTTACTCAGGAAATCTGAACTT